GGGTTTCGCTGTTCTATTGTAAATAAATCTTAACCAAAGATTCCTAATTGCATCTACTTTCGGAAGGCCAAATATAGTGCTTTTGCTTTCGCCTAGAAACACACAGCGTCTCCTTGACATGGCTGCTTCAACACTAACTGCTGTTCCTGAAACCACGCCTTCTTTCTTTGCATGAACGTTTGGGCGGCATTATTCAAATATTTTCACATAGTGAGGTAGATATGTGGGGGCGTGTTAGAACGAGCCGTTTTAGGGGGGCGTGGCAGAGTCTTAACTTTGATAAAGAATATCTCTTTGGTTTTGAGACTTTAGTCTTTGCAACTTCAGGGATCTTATCTATGCACAATCAGCTTGTAACACTCCAAAGAGAAAGGAAAACTTGAAATTGCATCATAATGACCCCTTTAAGAAAATGAACAAAAGCGACATACTGGATGCTCGAACACACACAAGAGGGCGCACTTTATACAAAATGCCTTTTCTGCGGTTTCCTTCTAGTCTAGAATGTTGTTGAATGTCTCAAGTGTTGGTGAGGATGACTCTGGTGTAGGTGAAACCGCTAATTTACTGTTCCTCCTTTTTGGATCAGTATGAGCAAATCATACAGCCCGTTATATAAACAGTTAGATCAATGTTTTTTATAACCGACATTGTGTCCCTTGCAGTCCACAAAGTGTAGTCTGTAGTAGGCTAACCCACATTCCATAACAAATCACCTATATTGCCAAAAGACATTCATAACATAACAATGTCAATACTGGACAAGGGACTATGACAAATAGGCTTACGATAGCTATGTCCAGAATAGAACATTAGCATACTAGTTCTACTATTTGTGTAGTACGTACTGTGCCATATATGCCAATTTTGACCTATTATGCAATATGCAGCTGAAGATAACTGGATGTCAATCACAATTAATTATGCAATGTAATGAGGTCATTTAACAATGTAGCATTCTGCTTTTAAAATGTCTATTGTTATGTAGGCCTACACTGTTTCACATAGGTTACTACTTTTAAAAAATCTTAAGCAGTATGCGATGTATTTTGCATAGTATGCAGCAAGTAGTAGGATGGTATTCCATTTGTTTGTGCATCGTCACTGTAAAAAGTAAAGTGTCACTGTAAAATCTGCGCTCACTCTCTATTTTTGTCAGCTTGAGAGACTGAGGAAAAAATAGCATTTCTGATAACTGAAATAGTGAGTAGCTGATGTTCACTGTTTTTTCCTGTGCATTGTGGGAATTTAAACATTTCAGTACTTGATTTTGACAGTGGGACAGGCCTGAAACTTCCACTTGGCAATACACTAATGAGTATTGAGCTAAAGAAAGTTGATTGAAATACACCCCGTGTTCAGATATGCCCTGTTATATAGTATGCAAAAATCAGTACGTCAAATTAGTAGTCAGAATATGCAATATTCATAAAACAGCAACATGGCTAATGTCATATGGTCACATAGAGATGGCAACATGGTAGAAGTAGTGCAGGGGTGCCCAATCCAATATCCTGCTACATACATGCAGAGAAACTCTGACAGAATGTAATTTCAGAACAAACTAAAATGTATAAACTTTGTGCACATTAATATGACAGGAAACAGGAAATCAAAACTGGAATACATGAACCACACTAAACATAAATGACATAAAGTGAAAGACCCTGGAGACATACGAGACAAGCTGAGTCTGACAAAACTGAAGATAATAAAACATTGAAGAAGATAAAACATTGAAGCCATAAAAAATAAAAAGCAAATATTTGCATATGTGGATCAGCTCTTACATTTTTAATGCTTCGAACGTCACATTTTCGTCACCTTCACTATGAACGCAACTGATTTTTACGTCATTATTTAATTCAACTTTCTAATTTTCAAAATATGTCAGTTTTGGCAAAGACCTTTTCTGATTTATAAAGATTTTGTTCTGGTTAATTATTATTATTATTATTATTATTATTATTCGATTTGTGTGTAATGGTCTACATGCATTCTTAATTTAATATTTTTAACTTATACTGGAATTTGTGTTCAAAGTGATTTTACACTCATTCAACATCTGCAATGATTAGCAACAATTAGCTGACAGTCTAAACAAACTGATATGACCAACAGGTCATCTGTTGCCATACAAAATTGAAGACCTTTAAACAATTTCCAACAACTATACATCTCAATTACGTATTTGGCATCAGAAAAATAGAGACTCATTTAAGATAAGGCTGTCTTACTATATGTAAGTATATTAAGTATACTATTACCTTTTCATTTCATGAAACATTGCAGGCTCTGGTTATATTCTTAAACTCAACTGACATGTTTTATTGAGAGCAGAAATCAGGCAACAAAGACGCCTCTTTCAAATATAGTGGACTTTATTAGCACGGTTATACTGTACAGTCAGTAATGTTCTCCTTTGATATTTAGGATTATAATGGACACGACACACAAGTCTCTGTACAATTGTCTTGTTGAACAGCTGACTGAACTTTGATGAGTCTAGAGAGAGCACACGTCAACAAGACCGTTAAAGCATTTCACATAGACGTGTACTTATACAGACATAATGATTTGATGTGTTATTTGAATGTTCTGCAGTATTTTCACTATCCTGACGATGGCTGTGGTACTTTGCAGCAAGTTGCTGATCTTGATGATGCAGAAGATTTCAATTTTATGAGATATGGTTGCCATAATAGTTAACAGGATGACACATGGACATAACTGGATTAACACAGTTGCTGGGATCACCACACCAAATGGTCCTCATATCTGTGAATAAACAGCCATAAATTCTTATTAAGCAAAAACCTTTCTACACAATAAGCAGTGTTCATCCGTCACAATTTCATGTTTTCATTGTTCACTGGAAAGAATTTTAAGTGGAACACTATAATATTGCCATAAAAAAAATCAATTATGAGCTACTTAAAGTCCATTTATAAATCTTACCTTGTCTGGGGGCGGGACTCTATTTCACCAATCAGAAGGTCTGAAATTAAGGCGTCAGCGCTGGACCTTTTGCCATACCTGTCAAACAGAACAAAGAAGCAAAAATCACACCAGTGTAAGAATTACAGCACTTGTAAGTGGAGTCAACATTTGCAAAATAATTTTGAAAAAGAACATTTTCGCAATATTGAGGTTCATGTCGCGCGCCTCGAGTCGTCTATTTGCGCCCCATCAAACGTTTGACATCAGCCTACTTAAATATGTTAAACCAATCAACATGTACCACTCTCCCTCCCTCTCACGTAAATCCCAATTACAGGTTTCACTTGTTTCTCACACCTCCAAGACGAGTCCACTTAATTTCCAGCTCACTTGTGTTTTATGTTCTCCCCTTTTTCTAGTACGAAGTCTAAAAAAAGTTTTAGTTATTCGGAAGGAATTTTAGCTTGTTACCAAAGACCTTTAAACTTTAAAGGTTTAAAGTTTAAAGAAACAAGGCTGTATTTCGTCTCGTTAAGTGCATTGATTCAACAATGAATTTTTGTAAGTAAAAATACACATCCCGCTGTTTTAACTCAACAAAGAAACACATTTAATACGCTGCAGTTAATTAGACAGTCAGCGGGGTTTTATCTGTGGATTAATAGTGCTTTTGAAAAGAAAGAAAAGGGACTATGTTAAAGTTTTCCAGCCCCCAGTGGCTTCAATGTGGAGGGGCTGTTTTAGTGTTTTTAAACCACTAAATCTGCAGAGATACAGATTAACTTTAGTCGATAACAAAATGAGAGGAAAGGGTGTTTTGAAATTTTGAGAACAG